AAATTCGCTTTCAGCAGATCAGCTTGATTAAAAAGATAATGGAAGTTTGTATTACCTTCTAAAGGTGATTGTGCACGCTCTGCTACGTCAACAGTAAACGGTGAAACAACCGCCATTTGCGGTGTTGATTTTCAAGTCACTTCGGTGAAGCTCTGAAGCCGTGCGTTTGAAAGCGCATTTATGAGAAAGCCCGGCAGTACAGCGATTGCTTAGCACCGTCCGAGAAGTTCATTTCCAGCAGATCAGCTCTTACAATTTGATTAGAAGGATAAGGGACTTATTTATTACCTTCTAATAATGAGAGTGGGAACACTGGAAAAACCAGTTCTAGCAAAAATGATTCTGGACAACTGCTCATCATCCACCAAATCCCTGAAAATGCATTTATGAGAAAGCTGGATAATGCTTTTCTTCAAAATCGTTCGAGATAACCGGATAGTTTATTTTCTTTTAGCGGCGGCTTGAATTCATTAATTTCCTTTTCCATCTGCTCGCTTTCAGCTGTAGGTCGCTTGAGATCACTTCTTAGTGAATTTGAAAGCCGGGTACCACGGTCATTCGGCACCGTTTGTGAGGTATCCGGGAACCTTTTTTCCATCTTACCACTTCTAACTGAATTAAAATTTGCCATCTGGCCACGGAATTCTGTAAAGCTTTTCAAGGATAAAGCTTTGAAACGCATGCTGTTTCTCCGAAATATTCAGTTTATCCACTTTTAACCGTCGGAATCAAAGAATTCATTTCTGAGGAAGCCAAACATCGCGACGCTCTGCACCTTCTGAGATGTGCTGGTGTTCACTTTGTCGGAACAGCTCTTTTAACCTGTGTGCACCCATTTTGTGCGTTCGCTGCGGGTCCCATGTGTTCCCTTTTCTAATTTTTATCGCAAAGAACTGTTTTTCTGTAAAGGACAAGGACCGGTAAGGAATGAAACCTTTCATTTCCACTGCCTCCAGATCCTTCGACTCGTGACAGATTATCGAATTTCGCCCTATATCCTTCGCAAAAAAGTCGCCGTTCGCGATAATCGTCCGTTATCCGTTTATCCTAAAATTTCAAATCCATTCACATTTAGACTCCTGTCAGAAATTCATGTTGCAGGTAGACGGCTCTACTAAAGCGCCTCCTTTTATCGATGGTACCAGCGACGAAAAGACGTCGTAGGGGTGTAAAAATTGAGTTTGAAGAGAATAGCAGCTCGTCATGCACCGTGAGCAGGCATGATGCCAATGGCTTGATGGCCAAAGATTGCTGCAGCACTGGGACGGAACCGGCATGGAAGAGACATCTGGAGAACATTAGGCAGATGAGAAGTGGACGTGACGCACCAGTTGACAGTATGGGATGTCACATGCTTGCCGATAAGCTAGCCGATCCGAAGGTATCCGCACTGTTCTTAGGTTTTTCCATTCGCTTTTAGCGATAGAAAATCCTGTAACCTGAATTCGCCATGTGGAGTTCCATTGTTATGGGGATGTATTTAGGTCTGACTAATTCAACTTTCATCCGGTTTTTTGTACAAAACGTCATATTTTCGGGGGTCGTTCGAATAGTCATTTTCTTCCCTCCTTATACACCTGCTGATGTTTGGCGTCTGGTTGTCAACGAAGCTCCCAACGTTTCTTGCCCTTCTTGTGCTTTTCATTAGTAGTGTTTTCGAGCTATGTTTCGCCTGTGAGTTCGCTTAGGGCCCACTGAAAATGTTATAGTGATTGCAGAATGTACAGGGCCAGTAGTAAGCAGTTTACCTCAGTTTTGAATCGAAAAAAATTGGTTTTCTGACTATTACGTTATGCTTTATAAATAAATTGAGTCGTTGGAGATCATGAGACAAGTGCCATTGCAGTTCCTTTATCTGATTTTGAAACTGTCCTTGAATCGGAACTTAATCGACCACTGTAGTATGTCAGTTCCATCTCAGTTTTGAAATTCCTGCAATGTTCGGCCGTACATTCGGGAATAACGGTTACTAGAGTATTTACGTAACGAGAAAAGTAAAAAATACCTTTTAAATTACAAATTCCTAGAATTATATTCACACAAGCATTTGGCATAAGCAATATATGTAACATTTACGGATACTTATACGTACTCGTAGTCGTTAGCCGTTCATTTTTGTAGAATAACTTATGATCAGTACATATTAGCTTGCCAGTTCACATGTACTAGTTTCTATAGTATTTATACAACTACATCAGCGAACACCTGGATTGTTGGTTTTTTCACATGTATTAGTTTCAGCAGTCTCTGTGCATTCTCAGCAACACACACACGCACACAGATGTACAGACAGCATATATTCACATTGAGTGGGCACATGCGATTAGTTAATTAACTTCGCTGTTAGCCTTCGTTTCATTCCTAGCTGAACATCCGAAGTTATAATGAAAACGCCAGCTAATATTTGTTGAATTACGTCAAAATGTAATAAATAATAAATGGGTCTATAAATGATAGATCTGATGGTTTGCTGCCAAAAAATGCATATCTAAG